CCATACAACCACGTTCTCGCCTCCGGATCTCCCCCCATACAACCACGTTCTCGCCTCCGGATCTCCCCCCCCCCCATACAACCACATTCTCGCCTCCAGATCTCCCCCCATACAACCACGTTCTTGCCTCCGGATCTCCCCCATACAACCACGTTCTCGCCTCTGAATCTCCCCCATACAACCACGTTCTCGCCTCTGAATCTCCCCCATACAACCACGTTCTCGCCTCTGAATCTCCCCCATACAACCATGTTCCTGCCTCTGGACCCCTAGAACACTTACCATTACAGAACACAGAATAACTGTCGCGACTGCAAGAAAAATGACAGGTTGGATAATAATAACCTTTCAAACAAGGGATGCCATACTAATGATGATACTTTTCTAGATGCCAGTGCACTCTAGGGTGGAATATTGTACACTAACAGCCCCATTCAAAGCCTGAAAATTGCTAACCTGGAGAGTGGTTTACCAGTAGCCATGGCAGGATGTGCTACCCCTCCCACTGAAATGCAGAGGTGAAATATGTATGCTGAGAGAGAATTACCAGTATCACCATTAAAGGCCCAAGAATTTTCAACACTCCCTTTTTACACATGGAAACTAGTAGAGGGGCTGGTTTCAAACCTGCACATAGAAATATCACATGAGACCAGAAGGCATGGCAGAATGTGCAGAATACCCCCGTTGAAAAGCAGAGATGCAACAGGTACTCTGAAAGAACTATCGTCAGAGGCCTGAGACTGTTCAACACGCTTCCACTACACATATGGGGCATAACTGGCCCACCCCTCACAGTGTTCAAGAATGAACTCGATAAACATCTTCAAATCACTGATCAATTAAGCTGTGATTCATACATCACACTGCGAGCAGTCCCATCCTATAGCATGGTTAACCATAGGACCAACCGAGAGGCCTAGTCAGACTGGGCCGCAAGGACGTTGATCCTCACACCCACTACAAAGGTAACCCGGTAGATGGGGTATGGTGCTTTTAAATGTTCTTAAGACTTTGTTTTATTGGATTGACTTACTATTTGTATTCTGTTTGACAAGAAATTAGATATACATGGCCCTCTTGAGGAAATTTATAAAGCAGCCGCAAATGAATTGGAGAGAATCTACACTGATGGTCCATGTAATCCAACTAATGGCAGGATTGGTTGAAATATTGAACTGCATTTGAATTGGTGCATATCACTGTACCTTTAAAGAAACGCTAAAGGTGCAGTGATATACACCAATTCAAAAGCAGCACTTTAAAGCCTTAGGAAAAACACAAGCAGAAAAACGAGTGATCATCGTCGAAATCAAGAAGCAGTGGAGTACTAACCAATGGAATGGGTGATCATGTTCTTGTGTATTCCCCTCCCATGTAGGAATTTTTGGAAATAAACAAGCAGATGTGCTGATTGCTGAGAGCACTGAAGGAGACCATATCACATATGTCATACCCCCTAGATGCTTCTACAAGTTAGAAGCATTATCAGGCAACATCACTCACAAAACAATTGAGGAATGGAGGATAGACGAGCAAATCAGTGAATTTGTATGCCAGTACAATATGGTTGCAGCTCCCAGTCCCAATCATTAATGGGGAAGGGGAGGTGGCCACAGGAGAGAATCAGTTATAGCGAGATTTCATCTTGGATACAAATACTCAGAGATTCCGGATGGAAACAACTGCTGAGCAACAGAGCTGTAGAATCTGAGGTGTGAGTGACAGACACCTCCTTGACAACTACCTGAGACTGTGCCCATCTAAGAGACATTAGAAATGTGTGAAGAATAAATCGTACATTGTTTGTGTTAGGTACACACTATTTCAAATATAGATAATGTTCTTAAAAGATTCCCCCTGCACTGTGCATACACAGGATAATGTAAGCTTAGGGGATTGGAAAATGTTAGTCTCCTTGTTTGGTAAACTGTTCACTTGAGACAGTTAAGCAAGTCCCAAATGTGTCTGGGTACAAGAGGTAGGATGAACAATCTAGCTGGTTTTCTTCCTATTGAGGATGTTGTACATGTACCTATGGTGGAATGTTCACTCAGTATGAGTGGCGCTGCTCAATTAACTCGCCCCTTTGGGCCAAAATAAAAAAAAATATTAAAGCCACACCCAAAAACTCTAATACAGTATCACTAAATGCTGGATTTTATCTGCCCTAACCTGTTGCTTACAACCTTAGGCACATTCATTTTATACAACTAAGTGAGTAGCTTCATATACATGATGAGCATGCAATAATTGATGGCGGATTTTATATTACACCCCACATTACAATTACAAGATTAAACCAAATAGTTCTTTACATTGAAAAAATTATTTAACATTACTGTATCTGCACTGATCTCAGCCAGGCACTACAGGTCTGCCTGAGGGTGTCTACTGCAGGGGGGTGAAGAGCCAGGTACTGTCAGGTGTGGACACCTCTTGCCCACCCCACCTTACCTTGGAGTTACCTTCTTGTTTTTCCAGGGCTTAGTGTCCCCGCAGCCCGATCGTCGACCAGGCCTCCTAGTTGCTGCACTGGTCAACCACACCCCTTCAACCCGCCCTCCTGCCCACCCACGCACCCCCTTCAACCCGCCCTCCTGCCCACCCACGCACCCCCTTCAACCCGCCCTCCTGCCCACCCACGCACCCCCTTCAACCCGCCCTCCTGCCCACCCACGCACCCCCTTCAACCCGCCCTCCTGCCCACCCACGCACCCCCTTCAACCCGCCCTCCTGCCCACCCACGCACCCCCTTCAACCCGCCCTCCTGCCCACCCACGCACCCCCTTCAACCCGCCCTCCTGCCCACCCACGCACCCCCTTCAACCCGCCCTCCTGCCCACCCACGCACCCCCTTCAACCCGCCCTCCTACGTACCCCCTTCAACCCGCCCTCCTACGTACCCCCTTCAACCCGCCCTCCTGCCCACCCACGCACCCCCTTCACCCGTCCTCCTGCCCACCCACGCACCCCCTTCAACCCGTCCTCCTGCCCACCCACGCACCCCCTTCAACCCGTCCTCCTGCCCACCCACGCACCCCTTCAACCCGTCCTCCTGCCCACCCACGCACCCCCCTTCAACCCGTCCTCCTGCCCACCCACGCACCCCCCTTCAACCCGTCCTCCTGCCCACCCACGCACCCCCCTTCAACCCGTCCTCCTGCCCACCCACGCACCCCCCTTCAACCCGTCCTCCTGCCCACCCACGCACCCCCCTTCAACCCGTCCTCCTGCCCACCCACGCACCCCCCTTCAACCCGTCCTCCTGCCCACCCACGCACCCCCCTTCAACCCGTCCTCCTGCCCACCCACACACCCCCCTTCAACCCGCCCTCCTGCCCACCCACGCACCCCCCTTCAACCCGCCCTCCCACGCACCCCCCTTCAACCCGCCCTCCCACGCACCCCCCTTCAACCCGCCCTCCTGCCCACCCCCCTTCAACCCGCCCTCCCACGCACCCCCCTTCAACCCGCCCTCCTGCCCACCCCCCTTCAACCCGCCCTCCTGCCCACCCACACACACCCCTTCAACCCGTCCTCCTGCCCACCCACACACACCCCTTCAACCCGTCCTCCTGCCCACCCACACACACCCCTTCAACCCGTCCTCCTGCCCACCCACACACACCCCTTCAACCCGTCCTCCTGCCCACCCACACACCCCTTCAACCCGTCCTCCTGCCCACCCACACACCCCTTCAACCCGTCCTCCTGCCCACCCACACACCCCTTCAACCCGTCCTCATGCCCACCCACACACCCCTTCAACCCGTCCTCCTGCCCACCCACACACCCCTTCAACCCGTCCTCCTGCCCACCCACACACCCCTTCAACCCGTCCTCCTGCCCACCCACACACCCCTTCAACCCGTCCTCCTGCCCACCCACACACCCCTTCAACCCGTCCTCCTGCCCACCCACACACCCCTTCAACCCGTCCTCCTGCCCACCCACACACCCCTTCAACCCGTCCTCCTGCCCACCCACACACCCCTTCAACCCGTCCTCCTGCCCACCCACACACCCCTTCAACCCGTCCTCCTGCCCACCCACACACCCCTTCAACCCGTCCTCCTGCCCACCCACACACCCCTTCAACCTATCCTCCTGCCCACCCACACACCCCTTCAACCTGTCCTCCTGCCCACCCCCACACACCTTCAACCTGCCCACCCACGCCCCCTTCAACCATGCCCCTCCTATCCGCCCACGCCATTCTTCAACTGTGTTCTCCTGCCCACCCCCACACCCCCTCACCCATGCCCACCCACCCACACACCCCCTTCAACCGTGCCCACCTGCCCGCCCACACACCCCTTCAACCGTGCCCACCTGCCCGCCCACACACCCCTTCAACCGTGCCCACCCACACCCCCCTTCAACCGTTCCCACCCACACACCCCTTCAACCGTGCCCACCTGCCCACCCACACCCCTTCATCGTGCCCACACACCCCTTCATCGTGCCCACACACCCCTTCACCGTGCCCACCCACACCCCTTCAATGTGCCACCCTGACCAACCACACACCCCTTCACCGTGCCCGCCTGCCCACCCACACACCTTCACCGTGCCCGCCTGCCCACCCACACCCCTCCACCGTGCCCACCCACACCTTCACCGTGCCCGCCTGCCCACCCACACACCTTCACCGTGCCCACACACCCTTTCACCGTGCCCTCGTGCACCTTCACCGTGCCTGAGGGTGTCAGCGGTGGGTGGAGGGCCAGAGGCACCAAGAGTGGCGGGGGTGGTGGCCCCCCTCACCACCCCCGTGCACACCAGCACCTCCAGGGTGTGTGGTGAGCCCCACCGACCACGCCCAGGTGCTGCGCCGGCCCCCGGGGCTCCACCACACACATCCTCGTCACGGGTTACCTCCTTGGGTAGCAGTCAACGCCACACCATCTACACTTATTGACAATATTTATGTTTATACACACCAAATGCCCATCATTTCGTAATTATATAATCGTGAAAACCAAAACAGTACATACGTGATCGATATAAATGAATCAACTTGATGCTTGCCGATGAAATTCTTGCAAAATACACCCCAAATCCACGCCTATCCCCGCCTTCTCATGGGGACACACCTGATTTTGCCTCGGATTAAATATTCATAAAACTCTTATTCTAGCCACTTCAGACTGCATACACGGAACAACGCGTCTTTCCTCTTCACACGCATGTCATCCTGACCCAAATAATGTGGTTCTCTCGAGGCAAACAAACGGAAATACGAGCGTACGAGGGTAACACATATCACAGCTCAAGATGGCCGACTCATTTCGATTCGTGAGCGGTGACCTCAGTGCGCGCGCTGCTCCGCCCCGCCACCACACTCTTCACAAAATTATCCACCCTCTATATTTTCCCGTTGCTCTACTGCTGCCCACTGCCACTATTACCGTGGTTGGCGGATCTTGCAAGCCGTGTGTGTGGGGCTGGTGCGGGAGTTTATTGGCTGTGGCCGGGCCTCGCACTCGCTTTTGAATAAATATTATTGGAACGGAGTGTGTCTCAGGTAGGCTGTCGGGCGGTGAACACCAGTCTGCGGCCTCCACTATTATCAGGGATACAACTTGGGGTTAACTGCTCACGCTGCACCGCCTAGCTAGTCATTTATTACACTATTCGATTAATGAGGTGATTATGTAGGCTGGCACTGGTATAAGGGTTGTGTATTGAGGTGAGAGAGGAGCCATAGAAGATGGTGCACCTGTCATATGACGTCAGCAGCAGGCGGCGCCGGACTCTGCCTCACCTGATGCACCGTTACTCCAATCATCTCACATCTACTCCTTATGTCTCTCTCTCACACACACACAAACAAGCGATATGCTCATCTCGTGGCTGGCAATATACTCCGTTAGGCCTTGGGGACAGAATAAGGCGTAGTGTAGTGTAAGAGCGATGCCCAAAAATGGATAGCACTAGAGATACCCTCAGGCAAAAATTCACCTATAGTGGCCTCTTTAGTGGAACTTGGGTCGAGTAGCTTCTGATATTTTCAATTATTTCATTAACACCACATTTAGTGACTAGGTAACATAGCTAAATGTTTTCAGCATGTAGACCATGCAACATTAAACATCGCCGGGGCTCTATACAGCTAAGAGTACCACGCACCAATTAAACTACTCTTTTCGGCTGCAATATTACTGCACGTCTGACTTGCTTCCCTTATGCGAAGGAAGTCGATAAATAATCTGTCATTGCAATCATGTGAAGAGATGAAGTGAATTAACTTGGAGTTGAACGGACCGTCTCCGAAAGCGATAGTGTGCAGGTGCCAATTATTCTCTTTTCATTATAAATAGTTAAGAATTAGGACGTGGCAGTCAACTTTATTTAATGAAAATTCAACCAAACTGTTTGCACTTGTCAATTTTAATTAACCTGGAAAGAGTGGAGCCTTTATTGAATTTGTTCGGCGATAATCAAATATCGAAAAATTTAAAAGCTGGCACCTTCTCGTACCTGCTTCATTCACCTTATGGTAAAGATATCGTTGTGCTATTTTTATTTCACATTATATATTTTAAGCAGTAACAGAATCAATCTCATTCTTACAAATATTTCAATATTTCTACGTAAATGCCACATAGCATATGCCGATATTGAACAATTACCACAAACTGAACAAGTAGGAATGACGACTAATTGTCAGGTGTCATCGCTGGTCGTGACATAAGGTCGAGGCGAGATACTCCATTGACCCAGCAGTGGGGGCCACCTCTAATAGGGCCCTCAGACCTAATCATTTCAGAGTCCTCATAAACAAACAAGGAGGACTACTGTCCTTGAACTGGTTAAGGGCAAGTGTTGCTGATTAATACATATTAACACGGCCGTGAGAGGGAGAAAGGTAATTAATATGGATGTGTGACAAATAGAGTTAAACCCATTTACGGTTTAACGGGTCAGCTACAGCCTACCTGTGTCTCTAATGCATATTACATGTCGGCGACCATAGATCACTCCGGGGCCCTTCTGCTGGACGGACGACACACGTTGCTATTAAGAGGTGCTCCAATCTCGCGTGCACAGTGAAAGTTCTGTTTAAATTTACCTGAATTTACCTAAGGGCCACTAACATTAGTGGCCTTAACGAGATAGGAAGCCATCGGCTTGTCGAAGGTCTCCCTATTTTCCTTGATGATCTTTTCCAGTTGGACTTTCATATTTAACAGAGTTTTGGCACTTACGGCTTCGGCGAGTAGGCGGTTCCCTGAGTTTGTAACCCTGTGGATGAGAAATCATCTGTTGTTCACTGTCCTGCATTGTGGCTTGTTGGGCTTGAAACTGTTGCTCCTTGTTTGTGTTACATCTGACCTTTTGAAGAAATTTTTGGCAAACATTTCTTCAGAAAACTCTGAGCCTCTATTACCCACTGCCCAATGCTAATGAAGCAAGTCACAGCTAAAACGTTATTCGATCCATGGCTTACTAAAGGTATATTTAAATATATTAATAAAAAACATTAGGTAACAAAAAACTTCTTCTCATAACCATTAGAAGAAGTATAAGTTAGAGGTCATTTCAAAGGAAGTTTCAAGGAGATACTCATCAATACTGTCTAAAATAATAAGGAGAGCCAAAATTAAATACTATGAAAATAAATTTGACCAAATTAAGGGCAACATTAAGAAAACATGGAGCACTATTTCCCAAATATTAGGATAAAAAAAAATTTAATACAAAACTAATACCCTTATTCAATGACGATGGTGTGCTTTCAGCCTCTGACTGCTATTTAATTCAATAGTTTCTTCTCATCAATTGTCACATCCCTTGAACAAATCTACAAGGGCCGTGACGAGGATTCGAACCTGCGTCCGGGAGCACCCCAGACAATGCCTTAATCGACTGAGCTACGACAGGGTTAAAAAGAGTTGAAACCGAGGTTCTACTGAACTTACTGGATCCCGCAGCCTCTGCGGGGCACAAACCAGGGTTTTACACAACTCCCCCCTGCACTCGAGCTATGTCAATTGGCCGTTCTCCCTCTTCGCCCTTACATCATTACACACAGAAATCACACTAACGTGATGCATCAAATGAACAAATCCACAAGGGCTGTGATGAGGATTCGAACCTGCGTCCGGGAGCATCCCAGACACTGCCTTAATCGACTGAGGACGCAGGTTCGAATCCTCGTCACGTTCCTTGTGGATTTGTTCATTTGATGCATCACGTTAGTGTGATTTCTGTGTGTAGTGTAGTCACATCCCTTGCAACTGATATCCCATCCTCCCTAACTAATGTTATAGACTACCTTACAGGTAACTATCCAGAGTCTGTACCTAACTCTCGCTAATTCCTCTAATGTTAATGAGATAATATTTTCTCTTAAAACAAAGTCACGTGCTCTTCCTGAAATACCAACTCTAATTTACAAAAGAACTCCATATTTCTAGCTCCAGTCATTGCATTGCTCTACAGCAAATCACTTGAACTCCAAACCTTTCCGGATAGTCTAAAAAAAAAAAAGCGAGAGTAACCTAAGTCCGTAAATGTGGTGATCTCACTGATGTCAACAATTTCAGACCTATATCAATTCTGCAACCTTGTCAAAATATTTGAAAAACTAATCTACAAGCGGCTCTACTCTTATCTAGCTAAACACAATATACTTAGCTTTTGCCAATATGACTTCAGACCCAAAAAAAGCACTAACGGTGCACTGATTAATATGATTAACTTGATACATGCAGCTCTTGATAAAAATTAGTTACCTGTTGAGTTATTTGTTGACCTACGTAAGGCTTTTGACACTGTCAACCACCACACCCTCCTTTTTTAATTACATCATTATGGAGTCAGAGGTCACTTCCTCCAATGCCTTCCGTCTTACCTTACTGACAGGCTCCAGTATGTTTCTGTGAATGATTCCATTTCTCCCACCCCTACCCATCAACATTGGTGTTCCACTGGGCAGCATACTTGGCCCTCTCCTCTTTCTCATCTACATTAATGACCTTCCAAATGCCTCTCAACACCTCAACCCATTTTTATTTGCTGATGACACAACCGTCATTTCTCCAGCCCTTACTCTGAACGATACTGTGAATACTGAACTAAATAAAGTCCATCTTTGGCTAACTGCTAACAACCTCACCCTTAACATTGACAAAACTTTCTATATTTTGTTTGGTAATAAAACCTCAGATCAAATTAATCTAAGAATAAACAATATCCAATTTAGTTACAAAGTAGATGGTAAATTCCTTGGTGAATCAATATCAAGCTGAATTTCCAGGGCCACATTCAAATTATAGTAAAAAAAGTTTCTAAAACGGTTGGCATTCTTTCTAAGATCAGATATCCAAGATCTAAGATAGATATTTTCAAGAGGAAACTAGATTTATTCCTCCAAGGAGTGCCGGACCAACCGGGCTGTGGTGGGTATGTGGGCCTGTGGGCCGCTCCAAGCAACAGCCTGGTGGACCAAACTCTCACAAGTCAAGCCTGGCCTCGGGCCGGGCTTAGGGAGTAGAAGAACTCCCAGAACCCCATCAACCAGGTATCAACCAGATATTATGTACCTCGCCTTGCCCTGGTGACGCTCTATTACTCTCTCATCTATCCTTATATCAGTTATGGTATTTGTGCTGGAGTTCTATCCAAAATCATCTACGTCATCTAATTACTCAACACAAATCTGCTATTAGAATAATAACAAACTCTGGCCCCAGACAGCACTCAGCACCCTTTCTTAAATCTTTGAATATGTTAGATATTAAGTCACTGCACATCCTCTCAAGTGTACTCTCTATATATTTAAAACTCTGAACTGTGATGCCAATCCTGACCTTAAACCCTTCCTAGAAGATTGTAACAGAACCCATGAGCACCACACCAGAAACACATATCTATTTGATATTCCAAGAATGCGACTTAACCCAACTAGAAATGCTCTGCAAATCAAGGGACCCAGAATCCCAGAATGTGTAGTGATCTTCCTAATCATGTTAAAGGCTGTACTTCTCTCTCAACCAGTTTAAGAGAAAACTAAGTACTACCTAATTAACTCCATGTAACCTACCTTACCTCCTAAATGTCAACCTATGTCTTGCTATTTTCAAACAATACTGTTTGTTGACCAACTTGTATAGCTATTGATTTCTCCCCTGTTTCCCCCTCCCCCCTTTTCCCCTTTTCAACTCAATTTATGCTTTGATCTCAATTAGTATTAAGTTTTAGTCTAAGGTTTTTTTTCCCACATCTTGTCCAAAATGCTGTGCATATTAGTGGCTTTAGTCATTGTATATATTAGCTCTATATTAAAATCCATAATTATGTTTTTAACTCATCTTGAATGTATGTACTTTTACCTGAATAAACATTTTATTTTATTTTATTTT